CCCCGCCCCTCGCAGTTCTCGAGGGTGGGCGGCGCGCGCCCGCCGCCGCGCATCCTGCCGCCCTGCACCAACGCTTCCACCGGCTCGGCGCTGCTCAACCCCAGCCTCCCGAACCAGAGCGACGTGGTGGAGGCCGAGGGCAGCCACAGCAACTCCCCCACCAACATGGCGCCCGCCGCGCGCCTGGAGGAGGCCGTGTGGCGGCCCTACTGAGGGCGGGCGGGCGGCGGCCCGGAGGCGCGTTCTCCTGTCACCGGGCTGAGCCGTGTGACACCATCCCTTGGAGCCTTGTGTTTCCAGAGAAAGCCGCTGGGCCGGCCCCCGACCTGGGGGCGAGCGCGTCCGTCTTCTGTGGTCTCCCCCGGGCCGGGCCTGCGCCTCCTGCGCTTCGGAAGCCTGTGCATTCGCCGTCGCCATCGGCCCTCTGCAGATCTTTCAAACCTGACACAACTTGAGGGTGTCCGCTAGCCCACCACCATGTGGACACGTCGTAAGGCAAACAGGAAGATTCCCAGAGGGAAACTGTGAATGCTTCTGATTTAGCAATGCTGTGAATAAAAGAAAGATTTTATACCCTTGACTAAACTTTTTAACCAAGTTGTTTATTCCAAAGAGTGTGGAATTTGGGGGGGTGGGGGGGATGGAACTCATCCTGTTTGGCATTTAATTTTTATTTTTAATTTTCCGCACCTTATAAATTGCAAAATGCATATTTGCATTTGGGTGGTTTTTATTTTTATATATATATGAAAAAATTTCAGCTTGCTTCTTTCTTGCTTTGACAATTGAAAGAAATATGATTTCCTTTTCTGTTTTATTTAACTTTTCTTTTGGACTTTTGTGTAGTTGTTTTTTAAGAGACAGCTACAGCTTTGGGTCATTTTTAACTACTGTATTCCCACAAGGAATCCCTAGATATTTATGTATCTTGATGTTCAGACATTTACTTATGTGTTGATACTTTTTTAATTATTTAAGTGTACTTATATTAAGAAAAATATCAAGTACTACATTTTTTTGTTTTTGATAGTAGCCAAAGTTAAATGTATCACATTGAAGAAGGCTGAAAAAAAAGGATGGGTAATGTGATCACTTGGTTATCTAGAAATATTGTTTACATTAAACTCCCTTTCATGTTAATCAGACAGGTTGGTAGCTAATGCAGCAATGTTTTTAATAGGATTTTTAGACACCGAGGGTCACTCCAAGGATCAGAAGTATGGAATTTTCTGCCAGGCTCAACAAAAGGTCTCATATCTTGCACCCTCCCCTTAAAAGAGAAGGTCAAATCTGGTCCCAGAGGGTTCAGGCAGGGGTCAATGATTACACCTCTGGAGAGGATTTAATTTCTGCCCAGGTGTTTGCTCACTCCATGGCCTTCTGAGAATTTCCGACATGCTTTGTAACAGAACACATCCAAAGTAAGCAGTGTGGAGGAGCGGTATTTACAGAGAAATCAAATGAGTGAATTTAGGAGTTCTTTACCTGTTCAATTCTGGGGTAACAAGAAAATATTCCTTTTTGATACAGTACCACTCATTGATGCAGAACTCAACTTGTGGCTGTACCCCAAGGGTAGAAGTAGAATGATCTAGACCCACTGCTGATCTAGAAGGTGCTTGTTCGAGGGTGGAAGGTCTCCAGGTGGATTTTCAGAATGTTGTCCCAGAAGGAGGCCTGAAAGAGCCCATTTCCCGCTGCGTGCTTCAGTGGGAGAACGTCATCCCACGTGTGCAGGACCGCCATACTGTGCTGCTCACTCACAAATATCTTTGTGTTGCTTTCAGCAGGCTGAGACCCTACTCTGTAGGGAGTGTGCACTTTACTTGTGCATCAACATGACAGAAAGATTCATGTCACTGCTACTCATGGCTACAATTCAAAGGCATCCAATGTCACTGTAAATTTTATGGCACTATTTTTATTGGAGGATTTGGTCAGAATGCAGTTGTTGTACAACTCATAAATACTATCTGCTGATATTGACATGTGTGCTCAAAATGATCTGGTTGTTATTTAATGTACCTCTTAAATTAGTTGAAATGATTTCAGGTCAACTCTGAAGAGTATTTGAAAGCAGGACTTAGAACAGTGTTTGATTTTTATTTTATAATTGTAAGCATTCAAATTAGACAGATCTTTGGCTGCAGGCAGCGAAACAGCTGGACTTATTTAAAAACAACTTGTTTTTTGAGTTTTCTTATATATATATATTGATTATTTGTTTTACACAGATGCAGTAGCACTTTGGTAAGCGTTAAAGAGTAAAGCAGTTTGTGTTGTCAGGTTGTTCTTATCTAGAGAAGAGCTATAGCAGATCTTGGAGAAACTCAGATTATATTCATTTTTATTTTAGACATACTCCCTCTACAATTCAGTTTTATATGTTACTCCATACTACATCTTTGCAGCTAAATTATCATCAAATGTTTGAAAATTTAAAAATTTAATTTCTGAAAAAGACCATTAGCCCATTTCCCCCAAATTGAACGTAAATGTTCTTTTCAGCACATGTTGCCATATCAGACCTGTTAAAATGCTGACAAAAAATGAAGGAAAAAAATTTATATTTTTCAGTTCAATTCTGGTACCTGAAAATATTTCAACTCAAAACCAGTCTAATGCCGTACGTAATCTCTCACATCAAACCTTCACTCTCAAAGCCATGTATGGAGAGGGCTTGTCACTCTGTTTAGACTTACTGGTTTGGCCATTCAGAGCTTCACAGACTCCTACCAGCATATATGGTATTTAATCGTCTCAGAAAAAATAAATAAAACCGTAGTTGTTTGGGAGATAAGTCTCATACAACATTCTTTTTCCTTGAGAAATCGCATTCATTGTTTTCAGATAAAGTATCTCTTTATTCATTGTCTTTAGGTAAATTAAGGTATCAGCAAGACCTTTAAGACAATCATGTAATAACTGGGTTTATCTAGGAGCATTGGTCCAGCAGAAGATTGAATAAGCCATTTCTACTGCTTATTCATGCCCTTATTTATGATTTCAAAATGGACACATAGTTCTTTCTGTTTTTCCCATTATCTAAGAATATATTTCTCTTCTTCTCTGTCCCCCAATATCTTCCTCTTTCTCTCTCCTTTCTCTTCCATTCTCCCACTTTCTGTAAGGAGCTAGCACACACCCCATCCCAACACCAAATGTCCAGAATACAAGGTGGTCCAGTGCTTCTCCCTTTACATAAAGGAACCTGGTGAGTCAGCCTTTCTCCTGCTTGTGGGTTTCTTCCAGCAGAATAGAGACTTTGCCAACCATTTTGGATCTGCTTGCTGTCCAAATGCAGCAGCAGAAACCTTCATGGGCAAATTACAATCAGTGAGTAAATAGCCTTTCTGCTGCCTAGGGTTTCTGTGCAGATAAACAGAAATGCTCTGATTAGAAAGGAAATGAATGGTTTTACTCAAATGTCCTGCAATTTAGGATTGCAGATTTCTGCCTTGAAATACCTGTTTTCTTGGGACATTCCGTCCTGGTGATTTTTGCTTTTGGTGGTTTTTGTTTTTTGGGGGGATGACATGTTTGGGGTCTTTTATACACGAAAAACTGGTTTGACAATCTCATAAAACATTTTTTACTTCTGAACAAAATGCCTTTTTGTTTACCCTAGAGTATACATTTGTTATGGGTTCTTTGTTTGTTGGGAGTTTTTTCCCTCCTTTTAGCCAGGTCAGTATTGATGAGACTGATCATTTGGCTTTTTTTTTTTTCCTTCCAGAAGAGTTGCATCAACAAAGTTAATTGTATTTATGTATGTAAATAGATTTTAAGCTTCATTATAAAATATTGTTAATGCTTGTAATAATTTTTTTTCAATTTTTTTGTGTGTGTTTCTAAGGACTTTTTCTTATGTTTGTTAAATACTGTAGAAAAAAATGCTTCTTTCTACTTTATTTTAGACTTAAAAAACGATCTACTTATTCACTTTTGTAAGCAGCTAATAGCATGGTTCCCATTTTTTTTTAAAGTTCACTTTTTGTTCTAGGGAAAATGAATGTGCAAAAAACCAAAAAGAACTGTTGGCTATCTGTGTTAT